CATCAGTATTCTAGTTTGAGTGGACGTAATGTATTCGGAGCACTTGATTATCGCAAGTAATCTAAAAGGTATCTGAGGGAAACCTGCCTCAACAGGAGCTCCACAAAGGTAGTGCGACCTTTACTTGGTTATAGTTAGCAGTAAATGTAGTGACGATCCCATCATGCCTCGTATTTGCAGCATTATATATAAAACACTAATAAGTTAAAGATATTTGCCTTTCAGGTGAACTTTCTGGATTAATCTAAAATGCACTCTAACCTTTACAAGTTAACTTAATATGAGCTTCTTGAATCGTTTGAATTTCCAAATTGTTCAATATTTCAGAACTCTTTGTGCAACTTTGCTGCTCTAATAAGCCAGTTCAAAACAAAAGTCATCCTGGGATACCTTTGAAAAAACTGCTCATATTCATATCTGACTACAGTCACTAGTATACATAGACATTTTGACATTCTGAATGTGTAAGGTTGGATTTTATCAGACTACATTTGGAAGGAAAACTTTGTCTATGAATGTGACCCACTCATTCAGATACTGTGGTCAGTCTTTTTTTGTTTGTTTGTTTTAATTCAGAACTATAGAAGCTTTTATTTGGTATTAGTTTGCTCTACATTTGATTTAATAAAGCCCAGAATGTCTGTCCTGACTTATTTCAGAGCAAGTCTTGAGTACTTAAGTACTCAAAAGGCTTCTCGGCATATTGTGTCTGAAACGTTTGTGGGTTTCAGATGTTGGGAATAAAGCAAAAAAAATAAAAAAATAAAAAAAACCTGGCTGCTAAATGAGGAGGACAAGAAAACAAGAATCCTCTAAAACTCTCTAATCGCTTGTCTTTTCTTCCCTACAGAGAAACCACCTCAGACAGACCTGCTTCCCCCTGGGTACTTGTTTGTTCCCATTGCAGTTGTTTCCATCTGTATCATAGTGGCAGCAGTAATGTGTGTTATTTGCAGAAAGCGTGGTATGGAATACTTTTTTCAAATTCTTACTTTTGAACTTAATGAATGAAGGAAGTTAATTTTGTATCACTCATAGATTGCTTCGTCCACCTTTAGGTAAACATTACGTTGCTCCTCCATCAAAGGACGGTGAAACACCGCAGACTCCACTTAAACCACAACCCAAAGTGCTGGTCATCTACTCCCAGGACCACCACCTCTACAGGGAAGTAGTGCTTAAGCTGTGTGCCTTTCTTCAGGCCAAATGTGGCACCAGGGTGCTGGTAGACCTGCTGGACACCTCCTCAGTCAGCATGGTTGGCCGTCTCCGCTGGCTGGAGTGGCAGCGGCAGCAGTTAAACAACCCGTCCGACAAGATCCTGGTGCTGTGCTCACCTGGAGTTCAGGCAAAGTGGAGGTCAATGTGTGGTCAAGGGCAGGTGAAACTGAAGGAAGATGTACTTTGCCCCACAGATGACATTCTCATTCCGTTTCTAAATCTCTTCCTGCCTGACATGCATCAGGCAGGCATGTTGGGCAAGTATATGGTGGCTTACTTTGGGGACATCAGCAGTGAGAGGGATGTGCCTTCAGTTTTTGACATTGGAATCAAATACAACCTGATGAAGCACTTTGAGGAACTCTACTTCCGTATCTTAGACATTGAGAAATATCAGCCAGGTCAGGTCAGCCACATTGAGGGAATTGGTGTGGATGAATATTCCAGCTGTGCTTCTGGTAAAGCCCTTAGAGATGCTATTGAAACCTTCCAAGCCTATCAGATAGAAAATCCGGACTGGTTTGAAAAGGAGTGTGTTCTCAGTGAAGAGGAAGTTATTTCTGAAGCCAATCAGCTCATTGAGCCACTGCAGACTCTTCCTGTCTTTGAGTACATCCCTCCAATCAGAGATGGCCTTCCAGTCTACATTCACAACGTTGACATTAATGAAAGCTGCAGCACTGTTCACGTCCTTACACCTGAGTTAAACCCAGGGCAGCATCTGTCTTCAGTGGCATTGATTGAACCAGCGATGAATTCTGACTGCAGACATCTGTATGCACCAAGCCAGGTGGAAGTGTTGACAGAAGTCCCACTGTACCACCACAGCACCGGGCCGGAGTCTGCTTATGTAGCTGAACCTGTTTTCAGGAGCCAGTCTTCTGTCCAACAGAACTGGGTGTCCCTCAGGGAACCATCATCTGTTCCAAAGTCTGTTGAGGATGATGAAGCTTCTTTGCAGCATATGAACAAAAGGCTGTATGCCTATTCAGACCAAGTATGTTTGGCTCAACAGAACTTTCCTGACATAAGTTCTCTTGGATGCCCCAGTTCTGTTGTGCAGAGTGAGAATATTCCCTTACCTGAACTGAGCCTGGTCCAGCCTGTGGAGATGGAGGAGGAGGAAGACTTTGACCCAGGTGCAAAACGTTCCAGCAGTGGATCTGACCAGGGCTACAGCTCCAAAGGATCATCCCAACATGAAACCCCTTTAGAAGAGGATCCAGTGAAGGCTTTAGCCAGACTGCAGGAGGAGCTGTTCCAGATGTCTGACAGCTGATCGCCCTTCATCTCCTGCTCTAACAGACTGTGGTGAAGCTTTTTTACCCAATGCCAAGTTTTTCAGATCCTCAGAGACATTACACTTAATGCTCACATGTGACTTTTCTGAACAAGCTAACATACCTGGACCTATAAAGCAAAACGGACATTTAATTGCATTTCTTCATAGACAGCGTAAAGAGAGTGTTGCACCTTTCACTTTAGGTTTCATTCTCATTAATTCTGCCTTGTGCCAAAGTCCCATTTCCTGCTCATGACACAGTTTGCTTGTGGAATGAATTCCCCTGTATTCTGAGCCTGTGTAGACATACTGATGAGATAATCTGAATGATTAAAATGTCTTAATGTGATATAAGAAAGACTAAATCTATTTTAGGTTCTGAGAAACTCAGAACACGAAATTCAACAAACAGCAGAGCTAAGAGCAGCATGGTTCTGTTCTGTCAGTGTATGTAATATGTTTGGACTGCATACAGTTGAAAACACGTTTACATCCACTGAACAAAAAGATGCAAACAGACAACTGGTTTGTTTTCTTTTTATTTCAGTCTTCAACCACATAAAACTCCATCTTAAACTACATTGATTAGATCAATACAGATACAGTATACAGCACATCTGGAATGGAGATAATATTGTTATAGTTCATAGTTAACAATACTATACTATGTATATATTACTATATAAATATAACAATTCTAAAAATCAATAGTCTACTTAGTACTGATTTTTATCAGTTTAGCAGATTGTATTACTCTGTTTATGTTGTTTGTGATATGTAACACGTTTCTCTTATAAATGAGACGGTGAGTCTTAAGAGATTTTTTTTTCCTGTATAAATAAAGGCTTATGTAAAAAAGGAAGTGAGCGCTCTGACTGCAGGACTCGTATGGATCTGTTCTGTCTGTGAGAGGCTCCTTCAAACATCCAGAAATGGTTTGGTCCTGTCAGAACATTTCCCTACATGCAGGTTACAGCTCCACTGAACTCTGGCTGGATAATTTGGTATGAATCTGGGGTAAAGGTTGTGTGCTGCTGGATTAAGAGAATTCAAACTGAATTTGCTTTTACGCGTAATAGAAAATCTAAGTAATACATTGCATACAAAAGCGACAGATGGGCAGATGACGAGGGAATCATTCCTCACAGGAATTTTGTCCAACTTTCTTCCAGTTTGAAATGTTTCACTGATTGAACTGGGGAGGAAGGTGAAGCCATACATGCAAATATTGAGTTGAAACATTTAAAAAATTATTTTAGCACTGCCAGACCATTAATATTCCTGTAAATAAATTCAAAGAACTTCTAGAGCAAAAGTTTTACCATAAATCAACAGAAATCTGAAGATGGTGATTTTTATGGTTCTTTGATAAAGGAATCTGAACTGGGACATGATGTCATGTAGATACTGAAACACAGAAACCAACCAGCGCCTCGGTCTGGAGCGGCTTCCTGATGGCTGAGCTATGACCTTATGTCTTCATTCAATTCATTTGAGTTTATTTATTTCAGGTCAGTTGACAACAATTATGAAGACATAGCAGAGATCAGACTGCACAGCAGAATGATGTTATTTATATTAATCTGGTCAGTAAATGAACGAAATGATTTGCTCTGTGGGATGACTGGTCAGCTGGAGGAGTACCACTCTGCAGTCATATTCAATAAATGAGATTATGCTTTCTGATGAGCCTCATTCGTCAGATTAAACGTACCTGGAAAATAATCTTTAAACTGTTATTAAACATACTTTTCATTAACCTGACATTTTTGTATTATATAGTGCTTTTTATGTAATATTATAATTTTAAATGTCATGTTTTGATTAACTGTAAATTTAAAATCATTATTATCATAGATATGAGGTGGAAAACAGCAGTCTGTGTGTAAATAATATATATATATATGTATGTGATAAGACTCCTGAAATAAACCAAGTTGTAATAATATTCTAACTTACTGAAGGACTCTGTGCTTCCTGCTCCTTGAGTGCAGGATGTGTTGAGTCTAAGCTGAACACTGTTCTGTGGAAAACATCAAGCGCATTTAATGTAGCAAAGATTCAGAAATAATTATCGTTGTCACCAGCATATAAAGCCATTCATCTCAATTATCATGAAATGTGTGCTTCATGCTTTGACCTTGACACGTCTGTCATTGAATGACCTCAGTTAATGGATGGATAAATGAATTCCAGAAGTGGTTTTAACTGGACTCCACATGTGTTCACACAGTGTATGTAAATGTATGACTATGGTTTCATCTGGACAGCACTTTGATGAACAAGGCCAGCAGAGTTCCAGGTGGATGAGTAAGTAAAACTAGATTTGGGAAATTAATAAAATTACTTGTCATGACAATAAACCAGCAGCTCACACCCAGAAAATAAACCCAGAATGTTTAATCTGCTTCTACAGACCTAGAAGGAGGAACTGAAAAAAAAAAAAAGTTTCTCCTCACTGGATCCACACAAGGCACCAACTATCCACAACTTCATGTTCAGCAAAAGGCATTAAATGTATCTTTATTTGTGAAATATTGCACAAACTGCCACATCAAGCAGGATAAGGCATGACATTCCAACTTAAAATAAGACACTAAGCAACATCTCACATGTAGTTAGCAACAGTTTATGCTCTTCTGACATATTTGGGTCATTGCAGTGATAAGAGCCTGAACAGAAGGCAGGTGGACGTCTGCTTCACTCCTGAAGACAGTGAATGTCTTTTTGTACTGATGAAGAATCTCAGGTATTAAATTCCTTTTGTGGGCATCAGAGACTAACAATATTATTTATTTCTTTTGACAAATTATCATTTGAAATCACATTACTTTCTAAAGCTGTTGTCAAAGCCCACCTGTGCAGACTGACTGCCTTCTATTTCAGCTCTTTACATCACTATTCCTCCCTACTCTCTCACTATATGACAGAGCAAACGTACTACAAGAGCGGGATGTAGTGTTAGGGTAAGACAACTTGTTGATTATGGATAAATCAGAAACCTGCTCTCTCAATTAGGTTATGGAGCAAAACACAACACTCCACTGTACAATAAAAGCTATATGATTGGGCATCCTGATATCCATCCACTGTCTGTGCAGGGTCACCCTGGGGCAACTCCAGCAGTCATTAGGTGAGACTGCAGTCCGTCATCGACCCAGAGATACACACACTAGGGCTGTTGTAAAAGAATATTCTAGTAATCGAGTACTCTATTCATTATTGTTGCAATTAATCGAGTAATCAGGAAAAAAGGGGTCTCCCTCTTTCTCTCTCAATAAAACCCAGAAAACTGGACGTTGTGCTGCCAGCACTGAGCAACAACGTGCTGCCCGACACAAATAATGACCCGGCCGGAACTCAGTGCGCTGAATAATAAAACATAATTTATCGAAGCTTCGAGGAAGATAAATCGAGGTACTCGAATCATTCGAGAAATTGTTACAGCCCTCACACACACACCCATACGTGCACACACACACACACACACGTGTACCAAATGGCAGTATAGAGACCAATTAACAGTTGTGTTTGAACTGTAGAAGGAAGCTGGAGAACGGAGAGAACCCACACATGCATGAGAAGAACATTCAAACTTCCATGCAGAAAGACCCCAACGGGGGATTTGAACCCAAGACCTTCTTGCCAGAAGGCGACCAACTGCCCCCTGGTGCTGCTCTGCATTCTGATTCTGCCAATTAAGTGTTTATTTTACTAAAATCACTTTAATTTAAAAACTTCTGTTGATTGAATATAACATATTCACTATGGCAGTGAATAAATGTGCAAATATGTCTTTGATATTCTTTAATTTTTCCCACCATCTAAGCTTCTCCTTCAGGGAAAATTTAAACGCTGGCCATGTACAGCAACAGGTGGGGGAGGAGGAGCACTGCACAGCTCTCTGCTCCACATGGCTGGAGAAACATTTGGACTTTTAAAGCCACACTTTTTACAACCTTCATGTTAGGAACAGCCTCGTGTGTTTTAGGCCAAAGTGATGAAATATGACGTCGGCTTTTTATTGAGAATATTGAAGCTTTCAAGACACAACCACCAGAAGTTCTGTTTGTACCATTAAGTAAACCTCCTGTAATAACCCAGGTTACCGGCTTCATGCTCTGACAGGCACTTTACATTCCATCACCTTCATCTGAGACCAGAGCTGAAATCTGAACAGCTCAGTGGGGACGGAGCAGGCGGCCTATCAGAACCATCACATCAGATTGAACTCATTGCCCTAACACTGTGGCATCAGCCATGACAGTGTGACACCTGCAGACAGAGGTCCACTCCACCGACCGAGTCACTAAACTACAGACACACATTCTACTCTGGTTCTGACAAATCAAGCACAAAGCCACAGGAACAGGAACTGCTGCTGTCCATGACATCTGGAGTCAGAACACACGTTTTGATTCTACGTCCAAAACTCAACAAGATCATATTGTAATTATTATCACTATTATTAATTTGTTTGCACCAATTTAATCTGAATGTGACCTGTGTGAACTGGTTCTAAATATGAGCTTGGAAATATGAAACAAAAGTCTTAAACAGCCAAACATGTCCTGTAGAAAATGGTTTAAAGTTCTACAGGAAGTTCCTCAGGTCTTTTGGTGTAGGGAAAGCAGAAATGTGATATAATCCCCCAAAAGCAACAAAGACTAGAAGAAGACTCCAGAAGGAGAAGAAAAGTTTGCTGACTTCGCATGATAAAAAGAAAAATTGTTTGAACATCCAGTTTCTAGAAATGAGAGAGATCCGCGGTGCTGCTGTCTCTGTGCTGGTTTATCTTCATCTTCTATTAGTGGAAATCCTGCAGCCTGGATGTTTTTATCCGAGAAGCTTACAAGCGACCCTGTGGTGTTGTTCCCCCCTCCCCCGGCCCACAGCCGCAGTCTGCCCGCTGAGGCTCAGCTTGGCTCCCCGCTGTGTCTGCTCCATTCCCAGGCCAGCCTCCAGCACATGCAGGCTGATGTTAAGATTGCGTGACGGCCAGAGTGTTGACATATCCGTGGGGGCACATGTCGTTCTCGGACACGCAATGGGAGAACTGGGCTGGGTTGTTGGTGCCAGTCCGCCTCCGCAGGCCCTGCACCGCGGCGCACTGCTCCAGCAGCTCCAGCAGGCGGCACGCCAGCAAGAAGATGTTCTTGAACATGAACACCGACACCGGCATCTTGTAAACATACACCTGGAAACAACGCACGACGAGCAGAGGAGCGTTGACCAGCAGTCCGGTGGAGAAGCGGGCCCACAGCCACCGGCACCGCAGCTCCGCCGCCGTCAGCTCGTAGAGCCAAACCACCGGGACCGCCAGGGCCACGAAGTACACCGTGATCACCGTGTACTTCAGGTACACGGAGGGGAGCTCGCCTCTGAGAAGCATCTCCATCAGTGTGAACGAGTCCAGCAGGTCCAGGCAGGTGCTGGTGAAGCAGCTCTGGGAGTGGTGGCGGGTCGGGCCGTTTAAATCCACCACGATGGAATTGATGAGGCAGAAGAGCAGCGGCGCGGACAGCAGCACCGTGATTTTAAAGCCGGTCACGCCGCACGGCACCTTCAGCGCGATCAGCTCCAGGATGGACGTCTCCAGGATGAGCACGACTTTCGGGGTGCAGGCGATGACATAGATGAGCCAGGCCAGGTAGGCGTAGGTGAACTCTCCGAGGTTGCAGCCGAAAATGGAGCTCTTCTGGTGGAAGCCGCAGGCCCGTTCTCTCTTGCTTCGAGCATTCTTCAGGAAAAAAAAAACCCAGCCAGAGATGACCACCAGGTCCGTGGCTATCCACGAGCACCAGTACAGGTCGGTGAAGAGGATGAGGTAGAAGTCCAGGACGCCGCCCTGGAAGAAGAGGAGAAGGAAGCAGAGCGACTTGTAGAGCAGGCTCCTCCTGGATTTGTGCACCAGCAGAGGAGCGCTCGGCAGGAACTCCCCAGATGTCATGATGCAGGCGGAGAACAGAGGCTGGAAGCTGCTGCTGGTGCTCCGGGTGTCCCGGGTGCTGCTCAGCTGGCAGACTGCTGAGCGGAGGGAGGAGGATGAGGGACTGGGAGGATGATCGCTGCTCTGATGAACGCCACCAGATTCAGAGATCATTGTATTTATGCTGCCGCCTCCCTTCATCTACTGTCTGCCCTTCTGCTGGTTTTCTTTGGGAGCCACGGCAAAGAAAGGCATGGATTCTCAGGGAATGGACTCTGCTTTTATGAGGTCCAGTCATTTAAAATGCAACCCGGACAGCAGGATGAAAACATCATGTCCATTAGCTTCAGTTTGACAGACAGCAGTGAAAGTGAGATATGGAAATCCAGTGATCAGTCAATCAAGTTTATCTGTAAAGCTCATTTCAGCAACAAGCCAGTTCATCGGGCTTTACATAAAAACACAAAGATAAAGTTATAAAACACAATCAACAATGGAGAAACCAATAAACAAATTTTGATGTCATTACAATCATTAATACCTCGAATATGTTGGTCAATGTTTCATTTATCATCTTTAAAGTTCTGAACAGGTTGGTCTGAGCCTTGATTTAAAGGAACTCAGTGCAGCTGAAACACTGCAAAATACCAGAACCAGAAGACCTGAGAGGTCTGGAAGGGGGATACAATAGCAGCAGATCTGCATCCAGCAGTTATCACAGATCCTTCCTTCCCTCTGCTCCCCGCTAACTAAAATGTTGACTTTCTTGCTGGTATTTGCACATCTCTGTTGTTCGCACACTTTTATTTTCATTTATTGTAAATAAGACTGTTTTAATGCCCTGACAAAAAAATTGTTTGCACCCCCCGCAGCTGCTGTTTGAGGCTATTTGACCCATAAAAAGCATCACAATTTTAAAGGCTTGCATCGGCCTTGCCTTCTTTGGTTCAATACTGATAATTAGCACAATATTTACTACTCATGAATTTAACATCCAACAGTCCACATCCAGTATGCAAGTAGGTTGCTTAAATTTTTTCTATTAGTTTTAGATACTGAATGTCTCTCCCCAAGAGCAAGAGTCAAAGGCAACGTGCAAATACACATAAAGCAATCCAGACTTCTCAAAAATGCTATGTAGTTGCATTTTATTCAAGCTGCAGTATTTAACTTTAATAAAAAAATATGTTTTCTCCATATTTATTAAAGCCGTTTGTTATGAGACAGATAATCTGTGAAAACAATTAATCTCCTCCATCTCCTTCCTGAACTGTTATTGCTGGTTAAAGTAATGCACAAATATGGATGTGTGTTTTTTGATCTGGGAGAGGGAACATTAAATTTTTACTGCTAAAAACAATCTTTGAAAATACAATATGATTAATTTTGTAATTAACAGGGCCCTGATTATTTTTTTTAATTTCTGTGAACAAAAAATAAATAATTAAATTGTGGAGGGCCCCCTGTTGGTTAGGGCCCCTAGAATTGTCATCACTTTCCCCCCTATACCGCGGCTGGGTCCAAAAACAAATTTTTTGTCGTCAGAATTTAAAAACGGAAAGGTGTTTACATCAGAACTAGCTGTAATCTATATAATTTAAGGTTTATAGATATAGCTGCATGTCATCAACATAACAGTAGAACTTTCTCCCTTGCTGCTTGATGATTTTAACAATTCTGTTTACATGTATTTGGAAAGCACATTGCCTTTCTTTTGCTGACCTCTCATATTTATTTATTTTTTCAATTAGTCCATCCTAATTAGATTTTAACCATAAAAAATCCCAACAAAGGCCAGGAAGTGATTATGGTAAATTTATTAAACATCAGCAGCTTTATAAACAGACAGAAAAGAAGTCCCGGCCTTCAACAACCATATGTAAAGTCTTACAACATGCCCATCTGAGTTACAGTAAACGGTGCTGAGTAAGTTCAAGTGCAGAGTCTCAGAAGTATGTACAAATACCTGGATAGATGATAAACAAGTCAAACCCACAAACAAACTGGACAATGTCTTAGCAATTTCTTAATGGTTACTTTAGTTAGATTTTATATTGACTTCTTTTTCTCATTCTGTATTTAATAAACCACGCAAGAAAGACTCACAAGGATAGAGGTCTATAAAATGTTTAGCACGAGCGCACGGAGGTGGATTTTTTTTTTTTTTTTTTTTTTTAGTATTTATAAGTTCATTTATTATTCATGGCCTGCTTAAAGGCACTGCCACAATACAGAGGGGAAGCTACTGTCCATCACTCACACAAGACAGTCCATTCTAATGTCTAGAGTATATGGGTGGTGGGGTTAAGAGGGAGCCGCTATAGGTAAATCTCATAGAAATCGTCGAGCTCTTCATGAAACAAGTCCCATTCGTCCTCTGAATCTGTTACTTCATCGTCGGTTCCTGCAGCAAGCAGCATGAGAAGCATCTCACTCAGCTCGAACGTCACCATTTCCTCGTCGTCGTTGTCGAACGAGTCGGTGCTTTCTCTCTCGTCAAAGATGTCCCACAGTGGCGTCCGCCTCGAGTTCTGAGAATTGGAACGGGTCTTACAAAGTGTCTACTGGATCTCACACACACAGAAACTAACTGCTTTTCACTTTCTTTAATCTGCTTTTCCTATTCTCAACTATCTTCTTGCTTTCCAGCTCCACTACGAAGTGGTCACTTAACAGAACTGGTCACTGTACAGCTTTGCGAATGCATTTTAGCAGGTTTGGGAAATGTGTTTACCCGGTTCCTGTTACTGGATCCAGTCTGTCTTCTCTGCGGCTGAGCTTCCTCTAGACGTCCATCAGGGAAGGCGTGTTTGTAGAAGCAGTTTGAGCCAAAAGGACAAGTTCCACGACCTTCATCGAAGTACCGACATGGTTTACTCCTACAGATACCAGACAACAGAAACAGAGGTCAGGCTTTCTCGGTGAAAGCAGCGACAAAAGAAAAGTAAATGGATTTAGTTTGAATAAAAACCAAAATAAATCTAAATATTTTATCAACTTGATTTGATGTCAGCCACTAAGCAGAGCAGCAGTGCTCATGTAGGAACCAGGCGACGTACCCCATGCCATCTTTGTATTTCTGGATTAGCTTCTGCTTGTCCTCTTTGTCCTCCACCCAGTACTCACTTGGGATGACAAAGTTGGATGTGATTCGACACTCTGGACAGGACCTAACGAAAGAAAGAGCAGATTACCAGACATCATCCTTCAGATCAACAGAGCCATCCTAACTATGGCCTCTTTAAATAACCTATAGAGTTATTATCACACCACCTTTAATAAAACTTAAGAGTCTCTCACATTAGTCAACTTTAGGGCCAAAACAATTCCTCGAATGATTCGAGTACCTCGATTATTAAAATTCCTCGAGGAAAATTTTACCTGCCTTGTGTCCGGGTTTTATTACTTAGTGCACCGTGTTCCGCCGGGAACATTATTTGTTTACGCGGAGATCTGACTTCCACCTCTGAGTTGTTGACGAAAGCTAAGTTTTAGAGGCATAACGTTCAATTTTCAAGTTCGGCCCATGGGGATTTTATTGATTGATGATAATGCCCAGGTTTTCATCGTTTTTGGGGGACCAATAAGCATCCTTAAAATGAATGACGTGATGCCTCTGGGAGCTGCTGGTTGAAAGTGAATGGCGGGAAGAGCGAGCGCTGCGGGAGTATTTATACAGGTGAGCGGATAGATTGAACAATGCGGGCGGCTGAGTAGTTGATGCTTTCAGAGTAAGTGCAACTTTACGGACGAACCACACAATAAATTTCATGTCATCCCAGTCTCAACAAACTAGTGGCGGAAAGAATCGCAGTGGTACATGGCTGGTAGATGAGTTTCTTAGTGTGACGAACGAAGGTGCTGTAAATATCCCGTATTGCTCCCCCCTGTTCTTATGTTCGTCCCCTGGTCTACCGGTCCCTGGACTTAAGCTCGTCTGTCCCCTGGTCTGTTTCCTCCCCTCCACCCCCTTCTTACATCACCTGCCTCCCAACCCGGGTTAGGGTCAGGGCATCCTGCATGTTTTAGTTCTCTCCCTGGTTTAACGAACCAGGGAGAGTAGAAGAACATTGAGTTGGTGAGAACATTGTTTCTACCAACAGGGAGAGAAAACATGCGGGATGCCGGCCCTCCAGGTCCCACTTGGGGCACTACTGGTTTAGGCTGTATATTCAGAAAGATCAATACCTGGTAAACAGTGGAAAATATACCATGATAGAATTCCTATTTATACAGGTTGAAAATTAACTGTATAAAGAAGTGTTAATTTTTTTATACAGTGAATAAAAAGTTAACCATATAATTTTTTATTACATGGCTAATTTTTTATTGTTCTGTCTGAATTAGGACAAAGTTATGAATCTTTGTCCTAATTCAGAAACATTCTTACATACTGTTTGTCCCTTAGACTGTGTTGGAAGATGCAGGGTGAAGTCACTGCTCTCCAAGCTACAGAAATAAGTCTGCTTACTTGATAATTTTGCTCTCGAACTGCTTGGCACTCCTCCACTTGCGAATGCATTTCAGACAGTAACAGTGGCTGCAGTTGGAGAGGATCCCAAAACGACGCTCGCTTGGGTTGGACTTCTCGAACACAACCTCCATACACACACCACACATCATGTCCTTACTGCGCTGGATGGCAAAAGAAATCTCCATGTCTTTCTCATGAGCTTCAATGCACGCCTGGAAGGAGGACAGATAACCAACACTTTAGTACTGCAGGGTTTGGAATAAACATGCTCTGTCTGACTCCCGCTTGATTCCTTCACCTTGGTGTGCTCTGAGCGCTGGGAACTGTCACTGGGATGGAGAACCTGCAGGCCACACATGTCACACACGTCACCATGGAGATAAGCACAGTTGACTCCGTAGCGGCACTCTCCAACAGCAGCGTATGGACAGAGCTGCTTCCTCAGGTCTTTGTTGTCTGGGCCTGCGTCTCTGTCAAACTCCTCAATGAGAGGGGCCGAGCTCTCCACTTTCACTGGCTCAGCTGTGAACACACACACACACACACACACACACACACACACACACACACACACGATTTACTAAATGTTTCATTGTTGCGCTGCAGAGTGGATAAGTCCTGCTCTCTGTCTGATCAACATTTACCCCATTTAAATATGAACGTTTACTACCTGCAACATTTCTTCAGGATGGAGGTGAAAATGTCTTGAACTGCTGTAATACCAACTTTATCCCCAATATAATAGAGAACTTGCCACTTTTTGTTAAAATGTAAAATTTGACCAAAACTACAGCCATGAAACTATCTGCTCCTACTGGAATTAGTGAGAAATAGGCTGAGTAGCTGAATGGAAACATGCTGAAGATCCGAGTCTGAAACTTTTCTTGGATTTATGGTATTAAAAGTTTTAGAGTGCCCTGCGTGAGGACGACATCATCCCTGAGCACAAACTCCCACAGAATGTGTGCACGATGTCTCGCACACACTGCTCAAGCAAATACTGTCAACAGGAACCAACACACCTAGTTTCTAGAATCCCAGCTGCATGAGCTGAAAGCACATAAAGCCTGTGATCCTGGCTGATTGACCTTTATGACGGATAAAAGTCAAAGTGGTCGCTAATGTACCTCAAGAGCCACCATACAGCATTCAGGACAGGGGCCACTAGAGACTGGACTGTAGACGTTCATTGAAAGCCCAACCAAGAATTAATGCACTTACTGTACAGTACATGGACATATTTGTCTCATTTAATATTTGAATTAAAAAATATTTCAGGGTTTTTACTAATTCTACATGTGAGATATGAAATATAGTTGTGAGGAAGTTGTGTACATTTTATTTAATTTTTAGGATGATTTAAAAACTAAGATTTGATATTTCACTTAGATGCCCCTGAAAGTTGTTCAGTAGC